CATCATAAATTGTGCTTTGTGTTTTGACATACTATTGTTTCTCCACAATCGATTTTTATGTGATCTCTATTTAGTAATCTTGCTGCATTTTTGTTTGTCTTTTAATAACTTGTCTGTAGAGGCCCTCAGATTTTCCATATAAGTAATACTATTGTCTGGGAATAATGACAGTGTCACTTCCTCCTTTCTGCCCTTTTCCTTCCTTTTGGTTCCCTACGGTGCTACCACAATGTTGAAATAGAAGCAATGGCAGAGGGCATCCTTATCCCAGTTCCTTGTCTCAAGAGAAGGCTTTTAAAGTTCTACCATTAAAGTGTGATGTTTACTGTAGGTTTTTGGTAGACACTCTCTATTAAAATCAGTAAGTCTTCCTCTGTTCCCACTTTGATAATTTTAAATCATGAATGGGCGAATGTCATAAATTTATTTATCTTTTTGTATCTATTGAGATGACCCTAAGGTTTTTCTCCTTTAACCTCTTGATGTGAATTACATAAACAGACATTCCCCTATGAGACTATCTGAATTCTTGGGATAAACCGAATTCAGTCATGAATTCAGTACACTCACACATACACACACACGCATACACCATATATCATAAAATATTATATATTTAAATATAAGCTTAAGGACTTGATTGGCTAATAGTTTATTTAGGAATTTTGCATCTTTGATCATAAGTGAGATTGGTCTGAAAATTTCCTTTCTTATGTTGTCCTTGTCTCTAGTTTCAACTGCTTTTTGGTTTTGATGAATTTGGGTCTCAAGTCAGATAGAAGCTTTACTTCCCGGAAGGTGAAGAGAATTTTCAGGATCAAGGGGCAACAGCTGTGTTCTGGGATTCTGGGGACTTCCCTGGGGTTTCCATTCTGGGTTAAATGGAATGAGCCAGAAACATTCTTAAGGACGGACCACTTCCCACCATGAAGGAGGACTTTGAAATACTTTCCAGAAGCAAAAAATAAAGCAGTAACAGAGAGTGTAGGACATCCAGGCTGCTAAGAACTTGCAGATTATTCTGAACCCAGTACTGGGGCTCTAGCCCGCAGAGCCTGGCAGGGTACGGAGACTGTGTAGGCCTCACAGGGAACAAATCAGGGAGAAAGGAGCCCCGACTGACATCAAGTGGCAGCCCTCTGCAGGGAGTACCACTTTCCAGGCTGTAGAATCTGGGGCAGTGGCACTGTCTCAACTCCTGGGCACACACTTCTGATCTATTTTTTCCATAGCTTTAAGAGAAATTTTTGCAACACTGGCTACTCCTCACTTCTTTGCCCAGGCTGGGAAGTCATTATATTTGCTCCCTCTGGAGCTGTTTATTGCTGGAGTCAGGAACTGCCCCTGAGGAAAGGCCTTCAAACCTCCCCTATAGCTAGTGGGCCAGTGGGAATTGTGTTCCTACGAGGCAGCAGTGGGCCCAGCACTGATGTTTTCTCTCCTGTCCTCAGGGTGAGGAAATGTAGAGCCAGCTCCGACCATGTAGAAAAGGGTAATGGCAAAAGGGGATGGCAGAGAGAAGGAACGGGGACAGAGCTGTCCTACCCCTTGCCTGCCAGCTTGGACGTTTCCATGAGAGAGAAATAAACCTTCCATCTTATTTGAAGTCACTTTATCTTGGTCTTTGTTAGAATGCTTGTATCAATATCCTAACTATTACACATCCATCTCTTGAATAAAGCTCTGAGCCTTTTATCCTGGTAGAATAGAAATGGCTTACTGGTTTCTAAGGGTTTCTATAAGACCTGGATTTGTCTCCCCCCGCCATTGTTTTAGGTTACTCATTAGGGAACCCCTGCACCTCATGCAGGGCTCTCCAAACCTCCAACTCCTCCTAAGAATATCTAAAGTTCTGCCACATTCTAAGGGGTTACATCACTATTGCTCCATAACCCTTCACAGAATGCAGAGGCTGGTAACACTGCTTCGTTCAGACTGGGTCTGCTGCCCACGCTTGGCCTTAAGTAAAAAAAGGACTTACACAGAGGACTCACTTAATCCCCAAGATCAAGCCCCCCTGTCACTGAGACTGATCTAGAAAGTAATCATCATGTTACCAACTTAGAACCAGTCTCTGCCGACAAGGTACAACTTATGGCTACTAAATTAAGGTTTTTAAGAAATAGACGAATAGCTAGCTTTTAGTGAGCATGTACTGTGTGTCAGGTACTCGTATACATTACACGTATTAACTCCTTTATCTCTCAGTCACCTCATGAGATAAGGAGTATTAGTACCTCCATTTTACAGATGAAGAAAAAGATGCCCAGAGTTTAGTAGCATACTCAAGGGCATGCAGTTAGTAAGTGGGGAAACCAGGACCTGAACCCAGAGAATCAGACTTGCTCTCAGTGCTCTTGATCACTGTGATTCTGCCTAGACAGTACCCTCCAATCCTTCCACCCCCATTATTTTCAAAAGAACAGATGAAATCGAGTCGCTGCTAAATTTAGATAAATTCTAGAAGCAAGGCCCAGGACAGTGAGTCTCAAAGTGTGGTCCCTGTGCCACCACCCTTAGCATCACCAGCAACCTTACTAAAATTGTAAACTCTATGACCTCAAGATCTAATCAGAAAGTCTGGGGACAGGCTCTCAGGTGGTTCTAATGCACACTGAAGCTTGAAACCGCTGGCCTAGGAAAGAAACACGAATTGAATTTTTCTTCTTTCTTTGGGCCGTGGGGGTAGGGAAAAGAGGTGGAAAGGAAAGTTTTGTACTTAACACGAGCAATTTTTCCAAACCCTCTTTGATCTGTCTGGCAAAAACTTGCATGCAGTAATCTCACCAAGTCTGAGACTCAAGGTATTCTCAGGGGAGATGGCACTGGCTCACTGCTCATAATTTAAACATGAAGATCACTACTTAATTTAGTGTAGGAAAAAAAATCCTGGCAATTGGATGTAAGACCTATGAGGGGAAGAGCGATTCTTAAATAGTTAAAAAAAAAATTCCTTGGCATGCTGTCTTGTTTTCCTTCAAAGATTTGAAATCCTTTTTAAACATTAGCATTTATCATTCAGGACAGGCAAATGCCTTCTTTAATTTTCTGCAGTGATATTTCACTGCATTAAAGACTGTCTGGATAACCTTTATGGAACTCAGCCGGAGCGCGTCCCTCTGTCATGAGACAGGAAATGTTTCAACTGACTTGGTCATTGCTTAGATTTGGCCATGTTCTGCACTGCTAAAACCTCCACTGCACTTGGCCAGGATCTTGGAGCCTCATCAGTGTTCACATTCTGCATATGTGACTTATGATATGAAAGGTCTGAAGACTGGAGTATGTTTCCTTGGCTACTGTCACTCAGCTTTGAAAATGGAGGGGGTGGGAGACTTATTTTAGCAAAAGCTCTGCTTAAAAGCTTGACCAAATCCAGAAATTGGACTATCATAATATTTTATTGTCTGATATGCAGAAGCAATGAAATTTTTAAATTTTTTTTAAAGGGGGAGATAACATGCGAGCGGGGTTGGGGTGGGCAGAGGGAAAGGAGAGAGAGACTCTCAGGCAGGCCTCACACCCAGCATGGAACCCTATGCAGGGCTTGAGCCCATGAGCCTGAGATCATGACCCAAGCCAAAATCAAGAGTCCTATGCTCAACCGACTGAGCCACCCAGGTGCCCCAGCAATGAAGTCTTTTAAAATGAGTATAAAAATTATTTTTGTCTAGAATGTCAACTGAAAGAAAGAGTAAGATATGTAAACAAAAAAAATACCAAGTTTAGGATGAAATCCCAAATCCATGACTTCGCACATTTATCTCTAGTGAGCTCTCACAGTCTCCCTCAACTCATGGGTTCTAGAGGAGATAGGAAGAGTCCTGGTGTCATTTCACAGGTTGATAAACTATGACCATGAGAGGGTAGACATTTAATCATTATGATATCCAAGTCAAGACTAATATTTGTGAAAGGGCTACTATCTATGAATTACTTCATTTATTTCTCATGCAACCTTATGAGGGGAGTACTGTTTTCAGCCTCAGTTAAGGACACTGAGGCACAGAGGGGTTAAGGCAGAGGTAGTCCAACTGCAGAGCCCATATTCTCCACTCAGCTGCCCAGAGCTGCTGTTGCTAGCCTATATAAAGTAGCTTGTATGAACCAAGCAAGGCACCCCAGCAGAAGGGCCGAGTAGGAAAAGGAGCCCCCACTGCGTGGAGACCCCCAGTCCTGAGGTGCTTGGTTTTGGGAGCAGAGCACAGGCACCTATTTGCTCCCTCTGCTGGATGCCTTTGTACAGCAAACACCAAACAATTCTTTCTGGCCGGCACTGTGTCCACCCCTTGGGAACACAAGAGTCCCTCACATATTAGTTTCCACTCCTGCAAGATGCAATGAGGATAAAGAACAGTCCTGCTGCCTGGGTCTACCCAACTGCAGCATCATGCAGATGCACAGGTGCCCTCAGGGAAGAGATTAGAGTCTAGCTCAGAGTCTGGGAATATGAACTATGCCAAAAAGCCCAGTTCTGGGCCCAATATTTCCAGAATCATCATTATTAAATGCAGCATCATTTTTGGAGGAAGCCACACTCGAACAGCTCTGGCCACTCAGGGTGGTGGGGCAACAAGTTCTGGGTCTTTAAAGACACTGGTCGCCCCCTCTGTTGGAATATTAACCCTCTAGGCAGGGAACCTCAGCTCCTGCACCTGCATATCGGAGCCTGTGTGCAAGCAGGAGGAACAGGGAGGTGGAGGTGCTTATACAGCCTTTTCATGATGCCCCAGAGTCTCCACTCTTTTCCATCAATCTGCGGCCTCTGGCAGGAAAGAAATCTTTCAGTAAGTCCCAGGATATAAAAGTATGTTATCATCAATTGGTTGGTGATACACTAAGAACCACCAGCATCTGAACTCAGCACTTTGGCATGTTTTCTGACTTCTGGCCCTGAGAGGAAAATGAAGGGTCATTCTGCATTAACATCTTTGAACCAGTGCAAACCTCATCAGAGAAGTATTGTGATAAGATTTAAAAACCAACCCAGCTGTCTCTACCTTGGGTGTCTTGATGATTTTCTCCAAGGGGTCCTCCTGGTTCTTCATGATTGTCCAGTGCATCTCCATTTTCCTATGAGGTTAATACATAATAAAAAAAATACGTAAGATAAAATAAAGGTGAACACTCCTGTGGTCCATGCCCTTTGGTAAAAGGAAATCCAGTTTTCTTAGTTGTTTCTTCTTCTTTGTCAGCTTATTTTAACTTTCAGTGTCCAAGAAGTCTAGTACTGGTGTGAAGAGCCCTAAAGAGCCAGGTGGGCTTAGCTGTGGTGTTGAGCACTGGTGGGGTCTCAGTTGTACTTCTCTTGTGGAAGGCTGGCCCATTCATGTGTATAGTGCTCCATGCCTGGCATTAACTGGGAGTGGGAAGAAGAATGCCACGGGCCAGCCAACTCACAAAGGAAGCAAGGTACCTCCAGGGACTTGATGGATGACTGGGGTGATGAGAGCAGACACTGAAAGAATGGGAAGGGTGGGATGAATCAGAATCCAAAGGCCTTGAAGGTAGATTAAGGTCTTTGGTCTTTATCTTGAGAACAAATGGAAGGTACTGAGGGTTTAAGGCAGGGAAGCAAAAGGGTCAGATTGACCTTTTGTCGAGTTTCCAGGATTACCACGGATTGGGTTTCTTATCACATCTAATCCCCTCCTCCTTCTTTCTCCCAGTCATGCAAACTGCGTGCCATCCACCATCTAGAAATCTCCGTAACAGCGGTTCTCAACCCTGGCTGCAAAGTTAGAATTATTTGCGGAGCTTTAAAAAACATGATTTCCAGTCCTGACCTCCAAACCATAAAATCAGACTTTCTGGGATTAGGGCAATTTTAAGGCTTCTTAGTTGATTCCAATATGTACTGGGATTGACAGTCACTATTCTTCTCTAGACCGACCATTAATAGAAGAGCAGTTTTTGGTAGCCAAGGTGATGTGGCAGGTAGAGTCAATGACTTAAAGCCTCATGTGTCTGATGAAGCCAGCTCTTGGCCTTTGTCACTTGGATCTCTGCTGAATCCACATCTTCATTTCAGCTACAGAGAAGGAACTGGATATGGAGAGCCCTGGAAGTCTCTCCTAGGACCAAAGTTCCTCAATCTTCAGTGACAATCAGTTTTTCCACTTTGTTATCAAATGCCCAAGCTGCTTTGGGAAGAGACAATTAATTATCTGCTAATTTGTTTGACATTCTCTTCTTACTCTATAGCTTTTACCCTGCGTGTTTCTCATTTGTCAGCGTCGTGTTTGTAGCCAATGAGATAGTCTGACATAAAAGAGCTGGAGCTAGGGCTAGCTCAGCTGGAAGAGCATGTGACTCTTGATCTCAGGTGTGTGAGTTCGAGCCACACACTGGGCATAGATAATTATGTAAATAAACAAACAAATAAGTCTGTAAAAAAAAATAGAGCTAGAGCAGGTAAATAATTTTCTTTCTTTTTTTTTGGCTTTTTAAGTTTTTATTTATTTATTTTTTAAGGTTTTTTTTTTGTTTGTTTGTTTGTTTTAGTAATCTCTATACCTAATGTAGACCTCAAACTCACGACTCTGGGATCAAGAGTCACATCATGGTCTTCCGAATGAGTCAGCCAGGTGCCCCCTAAGTTTTTAATTCCAGTTCATTAACATACAGTGTTATATTAGTTTTAGGTGTACAAAAAAATAGGGAATGCTTCATGAATTTGTGTGTCATTCTTATTCAGGGACTGTGCTGATCTTCTCTGTATCATTCCAATTTTAGTAAATGTGCTGCCGAAGTGAGCACAGTAATTTTCTTTCTTTTGCATTTCTCATTTTGGAGACAAAGTGGATTTAGCCTTGGTACGGTAAAAAAATTCATCCCTAAATAAATGGAAAGGTTTTTTGAAAAATTACAGCAGGAAAACCCACCTCAGTCACCGTAAACTGCTAAGTTATAAGAGTAGAAAAGAGATAAACTAAAAGACAAATTCCTGTTCATAAGTCCTTTTAATCTAACAGGAAACTGGATTAAAAGGAAGAGACAAGCTTGCTCCTTTGGAAGAATTTCAAAGACAAGAAGGATAAACCTTCAGTCTTAACAATATATAGCTATGAGCCTTCAGGGGCAAGAAATATTTTCATTTCGCAGATGGGGAGATGGAGGCAGAGAGAGTCAGGATTTTTAAAGAACCTTCTGGTGGGTCCCTGTTAGAAAAAGAAGTAGTCTGAATTTGAAATTCTGTCCGCTGCTTAGAAAACTATAAAAAAACCCTATCATGTTTTAATATATGAACACCCGTGAGAAGTGGCTTATACCTAAGGCCATTTACTGCAACAGATTTGAAACCACCTAAAAGTGCTACCATTTGAGGACTAGTCAAATAAATTATGGTAATTCACACGAGGGAATATTACACAACCATGAAAAGCATCTCTTTATGAATTAACATAGAAAGAACTCCAAGATCTATTGAGTAAAAAGACGTAAGAATCTGAACAATGTGTATGATATTAAAGTGTGTATAAATGTGTCTGTGCACTCCTCTACGTGTGCTGGCCTATATATGTGTACTACAGTCAGGGAGGACACACCGGAAGCTAGCAACAGTGGAGCCCAGGGGGAGGGGAGCTGAGAGACATACCCTTTCATACTTAAATTTTCAAAGACTGTCTGAGTATATTTCAAATTCAAAATTTGAATTAAAAAACTAAAACTACTAACATAACATTGTATGCCAACTATACAGCAATTAAAAAAAAACTAAACCAGGAGGACCTGGGTGGCTCAGTCAGTTAAGCATCTGCCTTTGGCTCAGGTCATGATCTCAGGGTCCTGGGATCGAGCCCTGCGTCAGGCTCTTTGCTCAGTGGGGAGTCTGCTTCTCCCTCTCCCTCTGTGTTCTCTCTCCCTCTCAAATAAGTAAATAAAATCTTAAAAAAAACCCCTAAAATGCAATTTGTCATTTTTAGTATGAATTACAAATGCAATGACTAAACTGTGATTGAAGCACATAATAACACTTGGTGAGTGAGCGAAACAAACTGAAGGACTGAAAATTCGATCCCAGCTTGGTTATTCTGGCCAAGTCATTTGCTCTTCATCTGTTCGTTCAGCCCATGAACATTGATGGAGTGTTGTGTGCCAGGTTGTGTGTTAGGCATTGAAAGCACAAAGCTGAAGGATCTATTTGTAAGCAGCTCACTGACTTGTGGAGAAACGACATAAAACTTCAGCATTGCAATGCTCTGATACATGTTGTGACAGATTATGACAGGTTTCTGCAGGACCTCACAGGAGGTGAAGCTAAATTAGTCTGGGGAAGGCTTGTTTACCAGGGGACATGGTGCTAAGTCTTGCAGAGAAGAGGGAGGTAGGGTAGTTCCCGGCAAAGGAAGCAGCCCGTGCTGGTCAGGGGGTGGTGTGGTGTGGCTGCCGTGCGTGGACAGCGTGAATTCGATATGGGCCAGATCTTGCAGGTTGCAGGATGGAGTTAAAAAAAAAAAAAAAAAAAAAAGGATTTATTCTATTTTTCTATTTATAAAAGAAATACATCTTTGATGCCAGGATTTACCAGAAGGCCAATGGGGACATGGTAAGAAATTCCAAGCAAACCAGTGAGAGGACTGAGCTGTATTTAGAAAGAGCACTGGCAGCAGTGTGGTATTATAGGGCTGGGGGTGGGTGGGGATAGTAACAAACACTTCGTAAACACAAACTGCAGCACTGAAACCAGACACGAGACAGTTGTCTGAGTGGCTGGGGTGCAGGTCCTGCAGTCAGAATGCCTGGAAGCCCTGACTCCTACACTTGATGCCTTACAGAGCATGTGACTTACTCAAACCCTGAGCCTCAGTTTCTTCAACGGACAGGGACTGGGTCCGGTGACCTGCAGTTCTCATCTCTTGTTGGAGAATCTTCCACTAGTCTTGCCCACTACCCTCACGCACAGTGCCCCATCTGAGCTTGGTACTTCTAGGCCCACTGCAGGCTTTCATGAGGAGCTCCCGGAGAATGGAGGAGCGTGGGATACGGGAGTCAGAGGTGGGGCTCCAGTGGGCCAGCAGCCAGCTACACGACCTGTCTCTGCACCTCACTCTCTCCATCTGTGAAATGGGAGTAATAATAAAGACTGTACAGGCTTCTTCTTGAAAAACTTATTTAGGAAAATACATTTGGAAATTCTGTGTAACATGCCACAATACATGCATCTAAAGGACTAATTTCAAAAACTTCTTAAAAACGGAAGAAAATCAGTATCTAGAGGCACCTGGGTGGCTCATTCCGTTAAGTGTCTGCCTTCAGCTTGGGCCATGATCCCGGGGCTCTGGGATCGAGCCCCGCATTGGGCTCCTGCTCAGCAGGGGAGTCTGCTTCTCCCTCTCCTGCCTCTGCTTCTGCCCACCCCCCCCAACTAGTGCTTTCTCTCACTCAAAATAAATAAGTAAATAAATAAAATCTTAAAAAAAAAAAGAAAATCAGTATCTTATTTAAGAGTTTCAACTTCAAGGTAGTACTTTTCTTGTGCATTATAAAGATCCTGCACGTTTTCTTTAATAAAATCGATTTATGAAAATCATCAGATATCTTGTGTTATTAAGATTAAAATATATTATTAATTCTCTGCTCCTCTCCTAGGTTCTGAAGCCAAAACAAAGATGTACAATTAAATTCTTCACAGGAACAGAGTAGACTGACCTCGTCAGGCTCAGGTATTGTGGGTTTTGTGGCTTTGAATCCTAGCGCCCTCTGCTGGCAGCCGCGTCACCTATGATGAGTTCATTTTCCCAGCCCCGTTTCCTCATCTGTACAGCAGATATCTCGGGAAGCGTGTGGGAAAATGAAATAAAGTTCTAATATGGGCCTGGTCCTAAGCAGGAATCAACGAATGTTTGGTCCTTTCTCCTTTATGAATTGAATCCTTTGTGGGTGTGAACGTTCTTTCAAGATTATTATTCCCTGTAACTCTTACCTCACTTTTGAGAGGCAGCTATGGAGGTCCCAGTGTTACTATTTTCATTTTACTAAAGAGGAAGCACAGACCCAGAAGTGTTACAAGGTCACTCATTTGGGGTCTGCAGTGAGGCTTTATGGCAGATGGTTGAAAACATGGGCTCCGGAGCTGGGCTGTCTTTATCTTGTTTCTGTCATTTACTAACTGTAGGACATTTAGGGAGTTACTTAGCCTCTCAATGCCTTAGTTTTCTCATCTGTAAAATGGGAAAATGTTACCTATTTCTTAGATTCGTTTTGTGAATTAAATGAGTTCTTTTTTTTTTTTTTAAAGATTTTATTTATTTATTTGAGAGAGAGAAAGAGAGAAACAGCATGAGAGGGGAGAGGGCCAGAGGGAGAAGCAGGGTCCCCGCTGAGCTGGGAGCCTGATATGGGACTCGATCCCAGGACTCCGGGATCATGACCTGAGCCGAAGGCAGTCGCTTAACCAACTGAGCCACCCAGGCGCCCCAGAATTAAATGAGTTCTTGCACGTAAAATTTAGAACAGTCTGGCACAGAGTAAGTGCTCAGTCATGTCAGCAATTATGATTATTTGCATCTCTTTCCATTCTCCTTTTCTGCCTCAATATTTTTTTTTAAAGATTTCTTTTTTTTTTTTTAAGATTTTATTTATTTATTTGACAGAGAGAGACACAGCGAGAGAGGGAACACAAGCACGGGGAGTGGGAGAGGGAGAAGCAGGCTTCCCGCAGAGCAGGGAGCACGATGCGGGGCTTGATCCCAGGACCCTGGGATCCTGACCTGAGCCGAAGGCAGACGCTTAACGACTGAGCCACCCAGGCACCCCCTGCCTCAATATTTTTATCTCCTACTCTCAAATGCTGAAATTTGCAATGCTTCCTACATGCACCAGAAAAAGTGAATGAAATGCCCTGTGGATATGCAAGAAATGCATAAATGACGTGCAGAATGAGCTGGTTTCTATAAAGCTCCAGATGCTGAGGACAGGACTTTCTCTGTTTGATTCACCATCCTTTTCTACACAAGCCCTGAGATTAGTCCTTTTCTGCAATACTTAAGGGGAGCTACCATGTCAAGAAGGGGAAGGTTTACTTAAGGGGAGCTTTTAACACTGAACATTCTCAAGAAAAGGTGTGATCTTTTGGGCAAGGACAGTCCGGGAGTGCGTGCTCTGTGAGTCCCCTGCAGAAGCAGGCTGAGTTACAGTTTCTGTGAGTCTTGGAAAGGGTGGACTGGAAATTGGGCCTTGGGAATGACAATGCCTTCCCCTCTGTAAAACAGTGCCAACATTGCTGAACAGAAAGTATAACTTAAAAGCCCTGTGGACACTAAATACACACACAAAAATAATTGTAAAATTCTACACTCTGAAGTCTGCAGTTTCTAGATGCTCCATAAATATATTTATCTCATTTCCATTGTAATTATCACCTTTGGACATACTATACATGTTGCCTAGGGCAGGACAATGATCCTGGTCTCTTTTGTTTGCTGATGTATTCCAAATGCCCAGAAAGGGCCAGACACAGAGTAGGTAGCAGATGCTCACTATGGATTGAATGAGTGAGCAGTGATGATGTTGTGCTATCCCATCCTGGGAAGTACTAACCATAATTCTTTGGGCCCAAAGGGGAGAACTAAACTGATGCTACAAAAAAAGGGATAGTTTCATTGGTATAAGTATTTTGGACTAAATGGTGTTCCTCCAAAATTAATATATTGAAGTCTACCACCAGTACCTCAGAATGTGATTGTACTTGGAGATATGGTCTTTAAAAACTTAAAATGGGGTGGGCTCATCATTGGCATGGGCTCTAATCCAATATGACTGGTGCCTCATAAGAAAGGTGACTTGGACACGGACACACGCAGAAGGAAGACCAGGTGAAGACACAGAGAGAAGACAGCCATCTACAAGCCAAGGAAGAAAGGCCTCAGAAGAAACCAACACTGCCAACACCTAGATCTCAGACTTCTGGCTTCCAGAATTGTGAGAAAATAAATTTGTTAAGCCACCCAGTCTGTGGTACCTTGTTTGGTGGCCCTAGCAAACTAATAAGTAATGAATTAAAGCAATTATTTTGAATACTTGTAGCGTTTTGTCCCCCCCCCCCATCCAGAATCATTCTCTTTTATTGTGGTTATAAGGACCCTCTTTTTTCTTTTTGAGATATTCCTCCCCTCAGCCCTTTTAGTCCCTGTGACTTCAGGCTAGGCCAATTAGTGTATTCTAATTTCCTTGCCACAGTGATTCATTTGGGCATGGGCATGTGACCCAAGTTTGGCCAATGAGATTCAGTTCCAGAATGATCTAGAAAAGAGAAGTCAGTGACGATCTTGTTACATGGGGAAAGAGCCTATCTAAGAGGAAATAGAGGAATGCAGAGCCCAGTCATGGAGTGAGATAGCTTGGGGACAAACACATGATTCTTCATAGAAGCCCCACACTGCAGAGCTGGGATTGGAGTAGCCCAGAGAAGATGTAACCTGAGAACTCAGGATTAGCTGAGGTTGGAAGGGTGACCCTCATGACCTCCCAAGTCTCTGACAGCTTACAGCATTAGATAGTGCCACCATCATGAACCCTGCACGTATTTGGTTTCTTCTCCTCTGTTTCTGTCTCTCCTAGTCACTTTTTAAAAAAAATAGATCTTATTTTTTAATATTTTTAATAGATTTTATTTATTTATTTGCCAGAGAGAGAGAGAAAAAGCACAAGCCGGGGGAGTGGCAGGCAGAGGGAGAAGCAGGCTCCCCGCCAAGCAAGGAGCCCAATGTGGGACTCGATCCCAGAACCCTGGGATCATGACTTGAGCCAAAGGCAGGCGCTTAACCTGACTGAGCCACCCAGGCATCCCTCCTAGTCATTTCCTTTTCTTTTTTAAAGATTTTATGTATTTATTTATTTATTTGAGAGAGAGAGAGAGAAACAGCATGAGAGGGGAGAGGGTCAGAGGGAGAAGCAGGCTCCCCGCTGAGCTGGGAGCCCGATGCGGGACTCCATCTCAGGACTCTGGGATCATGACCCGAGCCGAAGGCAGTCGCTTAACCAACTGAGCCACCCAGGCGCCCCCTCCTAGTCATTTCTTATCAAGGGCCTGGGATGTTGCTCCCTAGGGCTGTACAAAGGATCAGAGATCCTTCCATTCCAAGGCTTGCTTGGTTCCTGATTAGTTTCTTTTACTCCCTGGTCATTTATTCCCAGTTCATTCAGCTCTTGGGGTGGCAAAGAATGGGTAAGAAGAGGACCCTAAGCCAGAGGGCTGTTGGATTAGAAGGGGGCCAATTTATGGGGCCTTCAGTGAGCACCTTCCAGTGCCAGGCACTGTGTTAGATGCTGGGGCAGAAGAGACTACTGCAAAAGTGGACAAATGACATCCCCACCATAGGAACGCTGAGTACCCTTAACTAGATATGAAGCTGAGCTTAGGAGAATAATGAACTCTTAGAGAACAGAAATAAGGTCAGACATCCAAAGAGGATATGCAGTTGACTTGTAAATAGTTACTAAGTATCAGTCTTCTCCTCTAGTCAGAATACCAGCTCTACTCAGTTAAGGTGATAAAAGAGTAACAATTATTTTAGCTACTGTCAAGATAAAATGAATTATATTTGCTTGTTTTATGAGGTAGTTCAAGGTTATCCTTTCTCCTCTCTTTTCTCTGTCCCCCACCACCCAAACCAGACACCCAACTGATTTGTCCCCGATGGCTGGCTGTGATTACTGTCCTAATTTGTTCTTCCTTCATCTGCTACAAACTGCCTATTTTCTGTCCCTTCTGATAAAGCAGGAACTCTGAGGGACTTCTGAAGCTGTTTTTGCACCATGCAGAAATGTATTAACTGGAATGCCTGTGTATGTGTCTATAAAACCCCTCGCCTTCTCAGTGTGAGATCACCTTCAGGAACGGCGTCATGTCGATGTGCAGCTTGCGCGTGTAAAATTCTTTTCTGTTTGAACATATCAGTCCTTTATTTATACAACTTTGAGGCTCTCCTGTCTTCTGAGCTGCTGCCTCCAAGGACTGCTGGGCTCCCTGTGAAGAGAAGCAGAAAGCCCAACTTTCATAGGAATGATATACAGTGCGACAAGAGCTAGTCTAAATCCCCAAATATTTATAGAAAGTAATTTTTCATCGTTGGAACACTAGTCATAACACCTATTTTTACCATCGAAGACACAGGGGACCCAGATGTATAGAGGATAATCCAAGTCTGGTTAATTCATACCTGGGGTCAGTATAATGGGAAAGGGGAAAAAGGACCTTCCTGTGTCCCACGATTGTAATCATTTTATTTAATCCTCACAACAACCCTGTTCTTGTTATTCCCATTTCACAGATGAGGAACCAGAGGCTCTGGGAGTTACTTAACATAACTTGCCTAAAGCCATAACAGCTGGTAAATGGCAGAGCTGAAATCACCATCTGCCCCAGACTCCTTTTTTTAATGAGATCTTTTCAATACTTGTATGGCTTCTGCAAATGGTTATCAAATCTACCTTGTAGATAAAGTCATGGCAAGATTCCAGTTTATTTGCAAGCTTAAAATGTACTTGATGTGTTAGGAGGAGTGATTTGAATGAATCTAGCAAGAGGGAAGGAAGAATGGGAGGCCCCGGGGCCTCTTCAATCTCTTGGGCCACACTGTCTCCTGTTACTACAACAAGCCAATGATGTCATGATTCAGAGCACAACAAAGTTTGATCTGGAGTTGTTTCCAGCCCATGCTCCATACTGCAAGCTGGGTGATCTTTCCAAGATGCAAAGTGGACCACACCAGTCTTCTCCTCTGGTGAAAACATTAAAAGGCCCTGGCCCCCAGCATGAAGGCCAACCCACTTAAAAGACCCTTCTTGCCTGGCCCTGGACCATCTCTCCTGCCTCATTCTGTCCTTCAGCAAATACTTATTGAGTGCCTTTTCTATGCCCAGTAGAGCAGATATGACAGTGCAAGAGGCAGACAGAAGTCTCCACCCTTGTGAAAACGGCACACACATTCCATTGGGAGGGAAGAGATAACAAGCAAGTGAACATAAGTTATGTCTGCCAGTGATTTGTGATATGAAGAAAAATAAAGCAGAGAGGGGAGTAAGGAGTAGCTGGGGAGGCTGCAATTTTAAGCAGGGTACTTCGGGAAGGCCCCATAAGAAAGTGATGTTTGAGGGGTGACTGGGTGGCTCAGTCAGTTAAACATCTGCCTTTGGCTCAGGTCGTGATCCTGGGGTCCTGGGATTGAGCCCCGCATCCAGCTCTCTGCTCGGCCGGGAGCCTGCTTCTTCCTCTGCCTCTGTCTGCACCTTTGCCTACTTCCGTTCTTTCTTTCAAATAAATAAAATAAAATCTTAAAAAAAAAAAAAAGTGATGTTTGAGCAAAGCTCTGAAAAAGGCCAGGGCAGGTGCTGTGGGACTTTCTGAAGGAACTGTTTACCTCACTGTGGGAATAGCAAGTGCAAAGAGCTACCACCAACACTGACCTTTCAGGTCCCAGAGTAATGTCCTTCCCGTTCCTGAGAACACATGTCTCCCTTCTAATTCCTCCTCATTCTTCAGGTCTGGCTCATCTGGGCCTTTCATGACATCCCGCAGCACTGAGCACTTCCCCCATTGCCCACAAGGATGCTCATGCTGTGCAGCCAACTTGCCTCCCCACTAGACTATAAGCTCCATGGGGGCAGAAACCATGACTGTGCTGTTCTCAGGTAACAGCAGTGCCTGGCACAGGGTCTGGAAACAAATACACACTTGGTAGGTATTTGCTGAACAAAAGAGTAACAATCACATTGGGGCAACCTATGTGTTATGGCCCAATTCAGTTACAATGGCGAAGGCCAGTGAAGACGTCTCTACAGGAAGCATGTGCAGACCTCCAGAGACCTGTCCTCTGCCTAGCACTGGCTCCTCATTTCCAAGGAGGAAATTTATTTGTTATTTTTCAGGGCTGATTTGCTGGGGTCACTAGTATGCCATGAGATCACTGTGGGTGTGGATTTGATCATTTCCATATTTTCTAGGAGACTGAATCTCAGAAGTCTGTCTCTCTGGGCCATTATAAACTCCCCCTCCTATAACATTTATATTAAAGTATTAATGATGAATTAACAGTTGGGTCCTCACAAACAGCCATCATTTTGATGAACACCTCCACCCATTTCCTTTGTTTTGAAATGTGGCTAATGACTTTTCTGGACAAATACATATCCAATTTTTTGTCATCTCAGTCATATATCTGATTAGCTCCTCAGAGTGAGACAGCTCCTTCCTGTTTCTAGATCAAATGAAAACATTTGGTCCAAGCTAGAATCAGACAAAAATTTTGAAGCTTTCTAGCTTCCAAAATCATGCATGAATCACTGGGTGCAATAATAGAAATCAGACAATACTGATTTGAGGGAAATTTCTCCATTATCTTCAAGAGAAGAGTTTGTGTTAGCCCAGAAGACAAAAGCATAATCACAGCCAGTTCCAATGGCTAGAATTACTTTAACTCCTTATGTGGGGCTCAGACTGAAGAGTAGGGAGTTGAGAGGCTTTGAGAAAAGTCTCTCCAAATCACTGACCTGTACATCTTTTTTTTTGTTTTTCTTAAGTAGGCTCCACGCTCAGCGTGGAACCCAACATGGGGCTTGAACTCACGACCCTGAGATCAGACCTGGGCTGAGATCAAGAGTCAGACTCTTAACTGACTGAGCCATCCAGGTGTCCCCGGCCTGTAAATCTTTTGATAAAACAATTCTTTTGACTGTATGGCTCATCTCCTTAACTTCTGGGGCCATGAATTCTAGCTTGATGGAATGTCTTCATGAAGGCTCTATTGTCACTGGAATGCAAAGAACTGTTTTTGCTTATTACATGCAAGTGTTCTAACAAATAAATGATTGTGAAAGGGGGCTTGGGAGATGGGAGGAAAGAAAAGATTAAATATATGAAGAGGATTCTGGGAGGTGGTAGGAAGAGGAGAAAAGAGTCAGAAAGCTAAAACCAGGCAAGAAAGCCATGTGTTGGGATGGGTTTGCATTTATTCATTAAGCTGATATTTACTCGGTGATATGTGTCAGACAAACAAACATGTACAGAAGCAGAATGATTTTAGATAGTGATAAGTCTATGAAAACAATGAAATGGGATAGGATGGAGGTTGAGGGGGAGGGGAAAGACCTTTCTGAGATGACTGGAGCAGAGAGCTGGGTGACAAGAAGGAGTCAACCATGGAAGGCTCTATCTTTAGCCGTCAGAGTAGCCTGTATCTGATTATTCAGAGGTAAAACCAGGCAGGGGTCCTCTGAAAAGGAAAGTGGAGTTCCTGTTTGCTAGGCCTGTTCTGACCGGCCCTCTGGGCTCCCTAGAGGCACCCTTCTGTTTTCTGGGTGGAAGAGCCACCATAATTGACCCTTGCAACTCTTGGGCTATTTCGAGAGTGAAGACAGCAAAATAAATAGTAAACAGGAGTCAAGGTATCTGAAGATGCAGAAGGGGGAAGAAAGCACAAGGATAGACAGAACGGAAGGAAAATGGGGAAAGTGGTAGAAAGCAGAGATGCCTGAAGCTTTTTTGTGTCTTTTTTTTGTGCAGGCTTCCGTGGGAATGATTACAAAACTGGTGGGAGGGTGAAATGTTTAGCAGAAAATCAAAACCCACCTATACCGTATTGTAACTAATATTTTCATGTTCTGCTAAAAACACCTGGAAGCCTTTCTCTTCAGTAAATGAAACAATAAAGATTAATGAGTTAATTTGGTAAAGCTGACTTGAATTGCACAGAAGGTGTTGCGTAAGTACTTGGCATTTAAAAAGTTATCTGACATTTAAAAGGAGATGGCTGTTAATGAATTCAAAAGCTAATCTTATACTCTGACAGAGAGTGCCATGGAAAATCCAGGATTATTATCTTGCTGTAAACACAATGTGATTCAGTTGAAAGCCAGAACAAAAGAGAGCTATGGGCTGTAATACAAATACCCATATGCACACATATAAAACGCAGGAAAACTTACAGAGGATGTCCATTAAATAAATACCATTTCCTTTCTTATTCCCATAATATCTGAGCCCCAAACTTAAAGAAAAGCCCTTCACTCTGGTAATTTTCCCTCCTCCTTTAAGCTTGTCTATTTTGAAGGGTCGCCACCATGGCTTGGCTCTACAGTCACTGGAACGTCTTACCTGAAGAAGGAAAGCAGGTTCTAAACTCAATCAGCTAGATCTCCACCCATGCGTCCCACAGAGCCACCAAAGATACACATCTGTCCTGCAGGCATCTCTCAGACCCTCCTCTCTACTTCTCCCACTCCTTTCTAATTGGGGTTCCCCATCTCCGTAGCTGCGGCTTAATGGCTCCAAGAAGAGCTATTGTCCCTCATTAAGGAGGCTGCAACACTCTCACTGTCTAACTGCCTCCCACGCAGCTCACAACTTCATTCTGCCCGAGAGAAAGCTGCCAAGAGTCTCTGGGAACCTGTGGGCAAGCTGAGCTGGAGGAAGAAAACAGAAGGAAGGAGGGCCTTTGTAGCCAAGATCTGAAATGTGCTGGGGCACACACCCCATCATTATCTTAATGCATGGAGAGCAGGGTCGGGAGGCCTTTGCTGAAACCCTTATGTGGTCTATCAAGTTGTCACATCAAACCTCTGTGCACAAAGGGCATTTGTCCCCTCCTGTGAGCAAACAAAAGGAAAAGAGCCAGTCTCTCCTTTGGACCACCAGGCCCCCCTCCTTGGCTGAGAGTCTGTCCCTCCACTTTCTTGGGGGCTGGGGGGACTCTGAATCCCAGCGGGATGGACAGATCTGAGAGATTTAGTCATTGGGGGTGGGGAGGGGTGAGGAGGGCTAGGATTCTGAGCTTCCCCCTCACCATGCTCCCTACTGGGTGGGTGGGGACCAAACCCTGGAAAGGGCCACTCCTGCCAGGGAGCCATGGGCTGAAGGGTCTGGCCAGTTCCCCAGCACTTGGCCTTCTCTGGCCCTGTTATTTCTTGCCTGTGGAACTAAAAATGGGTGGTACGAATGGGGACACAGTGGGAGCTGAGGGAGAATGGAGC